GTTTGACCCCCACAGCGGCCAGGGCTCCTGGGGCAGACTCACCTGGAGGCTGGACGCTCTCTCTGGGAACCGTACAGGTGAGCAGCGGCTGTTTGTGTTCGTGCAGCAACAGCAAAACACAAGAACAACGCTTGTATTCCATATAAAATCCAACAAATCAGAAAAACGTCCTCACCTGACTTCAATACTACAATCACTTCAGTATATTTAATGAGGCCAGGCAAAGTTTTACCTTCATACTATGAATATTGTCAGAGTTACGTTCTTGAAGTGCAATTTTACTTTTCAGTTCTGAGCCTCATAACTTCATCAGTTCAGGAGACAGAGACGGGACATTGTCAAGGCTAAAAAAACACATTCGAGTTTGGTTAAAAACTGCAACCAGATAAAGTTTACATCCACTCCTGGTGTCACAATCTAAAGATCAAACCTGTTTTCTGCTCAGCCAGCAGCGTTCTCCAGCATCATGGCATACATAAATGTTTCAGCAGCAAATCTGCACCACACACTGACACTCTTCTGTCAAAATCCATGCAAATCACAGAAAAAGTTCCCACCTCACCTCCTCAGAATCACCTGATTATGAAGCTACAATAAGTTTAGTGTGTTTAATGAGGCCACGCAAACTTTTACCTTCATACTGTGAATGTTTTCTAAATGCAGCACGTCTGAATGACATTTTCCATCATTTCTGAGCCTCATAGCTTCATTTAAACTCTGTTAAAAACTGCAACCAGATCAGTTTTACATCCAAAAAGGTTCCACAATCTAACGACTAAATCAGTTTTTTGTTCATTTTTCCTGCATCCAACATCGATATTATGGGATGTATCGTAGATTGAACAGCAAAACTGCAGCAGTTTAGCGTCTATGATATAGAGTCATAGAAAAAATCATTGGTACCCTGGATGTGTTTCTGTTTTCTGATAATTCAAACAAGAAACTTTTAAAAGTGCATTTTTGGGTAAACTTTTAATGGTCATATCAGCATGTGTGACGGACACATTTGATACCAGGATCATCTTCTGGTTTGAGTCGTTTTTGGAGAAGTTTCTGATCATTTTGGGCAAGTTTGGGGGTTTTTTTGTTCTGTTTTGTTTTGTTTTGTTTTCAAGTTTGGAGATATTTTGAACAATTTTAGGGAAAACTTTAAAAACGTTCAAGGCTCATATCAGAATGTGTGATGGTGGTCGGTCAGAACCAGTTATAGACAATGACAATAACAACTTCTTACACAAACTTGATCCCAGAATCATCTTCTGGACACGATTCACTGATTTGTGTGACCAAATCATTTTCATCTGTATTTCATCCCTAAGATTTCGTTTGGCTTTTTATTTTAAACTCGGGGGCTCAACATGCTGCAAAAAACAGCACATTTCAGCCAACCTATATACTTCAAGAATGTGTAATTTAAAAAAATATTCATAGTAAGACGATAACATTTTTCATGATGTCAGTAAATATACTGAAGTTATTGAACATAAAACATTAGTTGATTCTGAGGGGGTCGGATGGGAGGAAGTGACTGATTTTTAACTTTTCCTTCTCGTCCAACAGGAAGCTCTGTTCGGTTGGAAGGGCATCGCGGCTCGTGCGTCCAGCAGCCCCGGATCGGCCTCTGTTGCCAAGGAAACCAGTCAGATTAAGTGATGCCGGGATGAATCCCGTATTTATGACCGAGTTCGCACACACGTACGAGGTTCTGCGCTTGAAGGACTGGAAGGAGGACACTGACTGTTATAAAAAGAAAACAACTTTACCCACAGAGTGCTCTTGTCTCATAATAAATACATTACATCAGAGGAGGAAGTGAAGACACGGGACTTTCCGGGCTTTAAATTAAGATTTAACAGTGAGATCATTGATCAACGATGACCGGTGAGAGCCACGGACTGTAGCAGCAGAAACAAGACGACGAGCTGTTATCTAAAAAAAAAAAAACTTGTTTCTGCTTATTTCTGGAGCCTCCCAGCATCTCAGCTAGTGAGGTGCTTTATTATTATTATTACCTGTAATCAAAAATGTTCTGTTTTTATTATAGTTCTCAGTGAGAACGGTTCCTAATTTACAGACTGTTGCAAGATTCGAGTCCCCTGATGTGTTTTCTTACCGACACCTCGACTCCACGCGTTTTCTTTTTTTGCATCATATTGATGTGTTTCTGACGGCCTGCTTGAGTTGCACCTTAAAGCTAACTTCCAGCGCTTTGATTGGACCTTTTTTCGGTCTGACAGAGGCCAGAATATTTAAAGTACCTCTAATGTATGTGAAAAACAGAAAAGACAAACTGCCACTGGTTTACTTTGGGTCGGAACAAAGAAATTTTGTGTGGACAAAAAAAAGAAAAGAACATTGAAAGGCGGTTTGTCAAATTCTAAATCATAAATGTCGTCATTTTGTGACTCGTGCAGATTCAAGTGCTTTAAAAATTTTTATTTATCCATGAATGGAGGATGATCATGCCTTAAAAATGCCAAAATGTTTGTGTTCCATCTATCAAATATAACTTTGCATCCTCATTGCAAATGTTCCCGTTTAACAAATACGTGCAGATGATGATCAGCCAGAGGATACAAACCTGCTCCTGGACATCGTCTGTCTTCCAGTCATCACCGGAAACACAGCTGGAGGTCGAGCTTTTGGAAGTGAATGATCTGTGCAGCATCAGGCCCCTGTGAGTTCCTTACACTGGGGTTGGATCTCGGTGGAATGTGGAACTGTTAAACGGAGAATAAACATGTCATTTTCTTTAACATGAGAGGAACAAACACACTGTTTCTGTGCAAATCTTATTTCATGTCGCAGCCAAAGTTTAAATGTGATAAGAAAAGACTTCTAGTTGCAGGACAAAGTTGTGGGACTTTCTGTGGCAAAATAAGCTTTTAAAGCTCTGGTTTATTCAATTTAATTTAGTTTTTCTGCATAGACAGTGCTGGTTCACAGCATAAGTCGTTTCTTGAGCCTCATTGTTTTATAGATACAGAAGATAGAGACATAAAAATGAAATAAATTCAGGGCTGAAAAACACATTTGAGCTCTGTTAAACTGCAAACAAATCAAGTTTACATCCACTCCAGGTGTCACCATCTAAACACAAAATCTTGTTTATTACAATTTGTTTCTATAACCAGCTTTTGGCATCAAAAATGAAAAAAGTTCCCGTATGACCCCCTTAGAATGAGCTGATTCTCTATCCACAGTGACTTCAGTATATTATACTACAGCCATGCAAAGTTTTACCTTCATACCGTGAATGTTTTCAGAGTTACAGTCCTTTCAAGTACAGAGAGGAGGGCTGGCTTTCAGGAAAACTCAAACCAGGGAGGGCAGACGTCTGCCTCGACCAATCGGGGGGAGACTAAAGAGGAGAGAGAAGACAAACAAGCGATGCATTAAAACACTTTAAAGATCAGTGAGGACAGCAAGTGCAGATCAGAACAGAACACAAAGTACAGGAGAGAGAAGAAGGTAGTGTCGTGCAAAGGTGGAATATAAATGCGTGAGGACTGTGCATGCATCAGGACTTCTTCCACTCAGTTGCCACCACTTAAAGAAATTATTCTAATTCACTGATTTGGATAAACCTTTCAAGTTGCAAAGATTTAAAAAAAAAAAAAAAATAATTCAGTAATTATACCAAATTAATATTGTGTGTAAACTCAAACTTCTGTTTGTTGAATTACAAAACCAACAAGTTGTAAATTGATTGCTTCACTTTTCTTCTCCATAGTTCAAGATGTCCTTAAAGAACTTGTTTACGTGACTAATTGTGAAGCAATAGGTGATTAAAAATACCACTCCACTTCCTCTATCTCAATACACAGTCGTCCTCACGTTCCATTTCCTCCCATTAGAGACGGAAAACAACAGCTTCAGTCACTGAAATGAGGTGAAATTGAAGTAACAAATAAAAATGTAGTGAAAATCATGACATTGCTTTTGAATTGTGGTTCAACAGAAATATATATATAAAAAAAATAAAAAAGCATCAGAATCAGAAGCATGATGGTAAACTAATATTTTGTTGAATTTTAATTTGACAGTTTTGTTTGTTTTGTTTTGTTTTTTTAATTATTCTTTTCAACCACAATTCAAAAGCAATGTCTCAGTTAACTAAATTATAATTTAACAAATTTTTATTTATTATTACTTTTTTCAGTTTCTCGTTGTTTGAGTGACTATTGGATTTTGCTTTTTCTTTAATGGAAGGGTATAAATACATTTGAGGACGACTGTATCTGGTTGGTTGAACATAACTTTATTAAAAGTCGTCACNATAAATTAAAAATAAAAAAGCATCAGAATCAGAAGCATGATGGTAAACTAATATTTTGTTGAATTTTAATTTGTCCGGGACAGTTTTGTTTGTTTGTTTTTTAAAATTATTCTTTTCAACCACAGTTCAAAAGCAATGTCTCAGTTAACTAAATTATAATTTAACAAATTTTTATTTATTATTACTTTTTTCAGTTTCTCGTTGTTTGAGTGATTTTTGTGGATTTTGCCTTTTCTTTAATGGAAGGGTATAAATACATGTGAGGACGACTGTATCTGGTTGGTTGAACATAACTTTATTAAAAGTCGTCACAGCTCAAACAACCTCTTTTGCATTATGTTTTTTTTGCTGCACCTAAACATCTGAAGGCTCATTTTACAGGCTGACTAGAAGACTTTCATGTAGAAACAGCTTTCATGTGTATATTCTTATTCAAAAAAAGACACAGACTGATTGTGTTCCGACAAAACACCTTAAAAACACTTTTTTAAAAATTATTTTCTCAGAATAGTAAAGTTATTTTAAACCAAGAAAACACCAGAACTGTGCCTTTATTTGGTGCATGGAGCCTCATGAAGCCACCTGTTGGGTGGGACATGTTGATAATAAATGAATATTCCAGCAGCAGGTCCTGCGCTGAGCTTTAAATGGGGGTTTATTTTGACGCTGAGGAGGATTTCCTCTGTGTAACGGTGCTGAACAAGGGGAAGAGCGCCGTGGTTTCACAATAACGGGTGTTCTGGAGCGCAGCGCGGCCAGACGAGCTTCGACCCTCCAGGAGGAGCCACCGGCGGCGGGCTGAAGAGCTTCGATGGGAATCTCCGGCTGCTGCTGCGCTTCAGGTGACGGTGAGAGGAGACCATGAAAGCGGCAGATATGCGGGTTTTCCTCCCGGTGCTGTGCGCTCTGTGCGCTCTGTGCGTCCCGACGGTCCGCGGGATCTTCGCCGGAATGTGTCCGAGGAAAGGTGCGTAAAAGTGGACGTGGCGTGAATTAATGAGCGGACATCCTAATATTACGTATAACGTTTTAAACTGTATAATACTTTCTATATTATATTATGAGGCTGCAGACAGCTCAGGTCAACTCACATAATTAAGAAAATGACAACAACAACAACTTGGAACAACAACTATTTTACTCTCCATACTCTGTTATGTTTCGTTCATGTGAGTTTGCGCAGTCGTTTCTTTACTTATTGGCAAACTGAGGTGCACTTTGCTAATTTGAGCAATTTTGGAAATCACGTAATGAAAGCACTGATTACTTTTTAAGAGCTCTATTGGTTTAATATTCTATACTAAATATGAAGAGTTCACTCCATCTTCACAAACCCACTTTTCCATCAATCAGACTGAAGTTATCTCTGTTCTTGTCATTTCTACTGAGTCAAATCCACCCAGCTTCAGTCTGAGTGATTTTATCTCAAGCAAACAACAAAAAAAAAACAAGTGTTCTGAAAATCTACAAACACGGAGTTATCTGGCTTTTTGCAAATGACCTCTTCCTATTTATATCTTGTTTATTTATTGCAGGATAAACAAAGTGCATCTCAAGGTTTGCCAACAAATCTGTACATTTCTGTTCAACCTCACAGATCACGTTGACAAAATGCAAGAGAGAAAATCAGATAAAGACTATTAATAAAGGAGTCTATTTCGAAGTAGCTCATTGCAAAGCAAACAAACAGTTTGTGCTTTGACATTCTGTTTAACTTCAGATACAGTTCTTCTAAAACTCAATCTTTCTCTGACGTCTTCATGAAGTTTGTTGTTGTTTGTTTTCATTACTTTCAGCCGGAAGTAAATGTCTGTTTATGCTGGACTCAGACTGTGACAGCTGTTTTTATTGTTGTTTAAGCACGAGGTCAGAGAAATTTCAACAAAAAAGTAAAAGTCTGAGACCCAACACTAGTCAGTATATGTAGATGTGTGTAGATTTTTATTTTCCATACTGGAATTCTCTGGAAACTGTGAAAGACAAACTATTAAAATCATCACCAACTATCTTAGTATTAGGACAGAAAAGTCTAAATTCTCTGATTGCAGCTTCTAAAATGTGAAAATGTTCTGTTTTTTTCCTTGTCTAGGACAGAAAATCTTTGTAATGAGGACAAAACGAGTCATTTGTCAGCTTGGACGCAGATTTTTCTGTATTTTCTGACATTTTAAAGACCACACAACAAATTAATTAATTTCAGAAATGAATCCACAGATTAACTGATGTGAAAATGATCACTAGGGGCAGCCTGAGATTGAATTATACAAATTAAATGGAGTTCTGATGTTAAGGTCAGATATAAACAAAACGACATCGCAGGCATGTTGGAGTCGAGCTGAATCACAAAGTCTGACAGATGAGGAGGAACGTCAGAAATGTAAATAAGCGAGAGAAAGAGGGGACAGAAAAAGGGCTTAATTTAGGACAGAGAAGAAACAGTGAAGACGAGAGACGTATTAAAAGGGGAAGTTCAGCAGGAGTTTTGGTTATGCAACGTTGCATCCTATCTGTGCTCGGCTTCACCGAGACTCAGGACGAAGGAAGCTGTTGTTTGGTGCAAAACGCTGCTGCACACACACGTTTGTACTGATTGAATGTTGATTAAATCACAGGTTCTTTTATTTATCCCTGCTGCTGTCAGACTTTAGAACCAGAACTGCTCAACAAAAAACTGTTATTTTGGTGCAAAATCAACACATTCAAAGCTGTGACTTCTGAACATTTCCTGCAGTTAAAAACTCTCTTTCTGCACACACAAGAGTCTGTGCAATATCAGCATTTTTATGAATAAATCTGTGCAACGTTAATATTTCTTTATCAGTATTTTTGTGAAAAAATGTTGCTGAGATTCAAAGTGTTTTACTTCTTTAGCAGCAACTTTTGAACTTGGATTCTTAAACATTAAAAAAAAACATCAGAAAATGCTCTAATTTTGAACTTTTCTCTGCTTGTAGGCCTTTTTTTATATCAACATTTCTTGTCAACACAACGCAAACACTGATCTTTTCCTTATCTATCATCTGTGTGTCATTTTCTATGTAAACTAGAATCTGTGCAATATCAGTATTTTTATTAACAAACTTGTGCAGAATGAATATTTGTTTATCAGTATTTCTACTCAAGAAAAAATCTTGCTTTGACTCAAACTGTTTATTTACTTCTTTCAGCTTTTAGCAGCAACTTTTTAATCTTTAAGCTTAAATTTAAAAAGAAAACCCATCAGAAAACACTCTAATTTAGATTTTTTTTCTCTGCTTGTAGGCCTTTTTTATATCAACATTGCTTGTCAACAAAAAACACTGATCTTTTCCTTATCTATCATCTATTTGTATTTTTCTATGTATACTAGAATCTGTGCGACATTTAAAAACATCAGTAAATGCACCAGTTTTAACTTCTCTCTGGTTGCTTTTGTTTTTTAAATCAATATTTCTTGCAACACAACACAAAATACAGATTTTTAAAACTACAATGCATCCTAGAATCTGTGCAATACACATAAAATCTTCTTCTCTCTCAGTTTTTCTACTCAAGAAACAATCAATATTGTTGCTTCCACATCCAGATAAATTTAGAAAACAAGTACTTTTTGTTTAATTTTCTGCTAATATCTCTTAATGACAATGTAACAATGCAGTAAAGGTTTATCTTATAGAAATGAAGAAGTCATGTGTTTTGTGTGTGTGTGTGTTTCCGTGCAGACCCTCCCCCCGGTGTGTTGGTTTTATCTCCCGGCAGCGAGCTGGTTCTGACCTGCAGCGGTCACGTGAAGGTGGACGGACTAAAGGTCGGCTTGTCCAGAAGCAGCGATGCCGGACGAAGCGCTCCGAGTGTGAGGACAACAACTCAGAAGGTCACAAGCAACAGTGCAGTGTCAGGTCAAGTGAGCCCCGCCCCGGGAGAAGACAGAAGATACACAGAAGATACCGGACGCACAGATTCTCCTCATGTGGTTCATCCGACCAGCAACAAGCTTGACTCTGACTGGACAGACGAAGAGGTCATAGACTATGAGGATGAGGATGAGGAGGAGGAGGAGGAGGAGGAAGGAGGCAGAGTGACGAGAGGCATCAAGTCGAGGCCTCAGTGGAGGTGGAATAAGATGCCGATGGGGTCTGGAGATAAAGACTGGGGAGACTTCACATTTGGAAGAAGTGAGGCGACGCTTTCTCTGAGCTCGGTGAGGCTGGAAGACTCGGGAAAGTACAGCTGCCATCGCAGAGGCCAAGAAAGGTTCACAGTCAAAGTGATCGTTACAGGTGAGAAGTGAAGTTTAACCTGAGCAAGAAAACAAAGCAAAAAGCTGAAACAAATCAAACCAAAGAGGACCAGGGAGATTTCAGCAAGCGGGGGACGTTCCCACAACGCTACATATACGTTGTAATAATGTTCTGAACACCTTGCTCCACTGGTTAAAGAATATTTTATTGTTTTAAATAATGTTCCTGAGACGAATGATGTTTGGAGGAAAAAAGAACGTTTTCAAATTTGAGAAACATTCTCAGAATGTTATGGAGGCTCCAGAAGACAGAATGATGTGTGTGATTAATGAAGCAGAGCATGGCGGTGCAGGACAGTGTAACACCAGCCTGGCTAGAGTGGAGGCAGGAGTCTATGTGGACTCCTCTATGGGTGTTTGCATGCAGCCAAAATTGTGTGTAGCTATGAGGATAGTCATGTGAATGTTTGGCAGCAATGTGCAAAATGTCTGCAAGCAGACTCCAGCAGGCTAGAAAAGTACAACAATGCATTTGTGGTGTCGGCAACTGTCTTTGTGTCTGCATTGGAGTATAATCAAGGCTTAACACGGGCCAAACTCAGTGCATTTGATTAATCAGTATATATTTTTTTCACAGCATCCATTTACTTCCTTTAGAGTCAATACAAAGACTTCAATCAGATGCCGCCCACAGCACTACGTGCATAAATGAAGTTTTGCATTAGACTTTGTGTTATTTTACTCCATATTTTTCACTTTTCCTGCCAATTTCCGTCTGTTTTAAATGTCAGTTTGGGTTCTGAGAGTCTAAACGAATAGATAATGAATGCACAGTAACACTACAAGTCCTCTTCGTCTTTTAGATCCTCTGGAGAGTCCCAATCTGTTCTGCTACAAAAGGTCACCCAGCAGCAAAATTCGCTGCGAAGCGACGCTTCAGAAGTCCGTCATGAAGCAGCCTCAGTGTTTCCTCTCGCTGAGCAAAAGGTAACAAACTCCTCCTATGAATGATTAGTTTAAGGTGTAAGAATAAGACAGAATGAATGTCTGGATTTAGATATAATACAGTTAAGACCAGACGTTTACATAAACTACATAAAAAGACAATCTTTTTAATCTCACTGTCTGACACTAAATCAAACTAAACTTTTCCTGTTTTAGGTCAGTTAGGATCACCAACATCATGTCTATTTGCGAAACGCCAGAGTAATGAGAGAGAGAGAATTTTTTATTACTTTCTTCAAAGTCAGAAGTTTCCATCCATCTCCTCAGTATCTGGTAGCGTTGCCTTTAAACTCTATGACTTGGGTCAAACATTCTGGGTTTCCTTCCACAAGCTTCTCTCAACAGTCTGATGAATTCTGGCCCATTCCTCCTGACAGAACTGGTGGAACTGAGTCAGGTTTCTCCAGGATTGAGATCAGGGCTTAGTGATGGCCACTCCACAACACTGACCTTGTTGTCCTGAAGCCTCTCTGTAACTAATCTGGTGCTATGCTGAGGGTCATTGTCCAGCTGAAGACCCATTAGTGCCCAAGCTTTAATTTCCTGCTGATGTCTGGAGATGCTGCTTCAATATTTCCACATCATGTTCTTTCCTCATGATGCCATCTATTCTGTGAAGTGCAGCAGAACACCTCCACAGCATGATGCTGCCACCCCCGTGCTTCAGAGTTGGGATGGTGTTCTCAGGCGTCAAGCTTCCCCCTTTTTCCTCCAGATGTACCGATAGTCATTAAGGCCAAACAGTTCAGGTCTAGTGCCAGTTAACCAATCAAAAGCTTCCAAAGCCACGACATCATCATCTGGGCTTTCCCAAATAGCTTGAAGGCATCTTAGTGGATGTAAACTTTTGACCTTGAAGAAAGTAATAAAAAATTCTCTCTCACTATTCTGGCGTTTAGCAAAAAGAAATAATGTTGGTAATCGTGACTGACCTAAAACAGGAAAAGTTTAGTCATGTTTAATGTCAGACAGTGAGAAAGAAACGGTCAAATGTCTTCTTATACAGTGTGCGTAAACTTTTGGTTTCACCTGTATTATATCTGAGGTAATCTACGAAATATAATCTACTCGACTAAATATGATTGTTGTACCTGTTGTAGCATTTAAACATCAACCTGAAGGCATTCAGGCTCCTCCAAATGGGTTTAAAATGATGATAACAGGTGCTTTTTACATCTTCTTCCTTGTCTTTCCTTTTTGCAGCATCAAAGGGAACTTCCGTCAGCTGCCGTGTTCGTACTCGCACCAGCACTCCCGCTGCTGGTGCGCTCTGGACCACATCGACGACGACGTCAGAACCCTTCACATGGCCTTCCTGTGCGTCACCGGCATCACGGGAAACGCCACCAGCAACCTGCAACAGTTTACGCCTCTGACCATTCGTACGTATCGCTGCAGATGAGTTGCTTTTAGCTCGATGTGATCTGACCGCGTTGCCTCCTGCTCCTACAGTGATGCCGGACCCTCCTTCCAACGTGTCCGTCCACCAGAAGGAAGGACAGGAGACGTGGATGCAGGTCACCTGGAATTCACCGGCGTCCTGGAAGCAGCAAGACAGCCACTATCACCTCATATATGAGCTCAAATACTGGCCTGCCAAGTCTTCGTTCTATCACGAACAGGTGCCTGTGTATTCCCTCAGCATTCTCTATGTCATCCTGAAACTCTCTGTAGACTCAGTAGATGGAGATGATTGTGTGTCTGTGCAGGTAGTTGAGGATGTGAACCGGCGCTCCTACACCATCACTGACGCGATGCCCGGGGTCGAGTACCTGATACAGCTCAGGGCCAGGGACGAGTTTGATGGTCAGTGGAGCAACTGGAGTTCACCTTTCTCTGCCAGGAGCTGGACAGGTAAACAACAAAACACACGTTAGTGAAAGTATCAGATCAAACTATTTCAAAATGACATATTCAGCTATTAACTGTGAAGAGGTGTCGCTGCTTCCTCATGAGGCAGAAAATGTACCTTTTGGTTTTAAAAGTGGTCGTGTCAGTAATTAAAGTCCATCTCTGGTGTTTGATTAAACCCCTAAAACTCGTCACAGTGTATAAAAGTTATATAATTAGAAGATTTTCTGAGTAAAAAAATCATCTTTTACAGTCGTGATCAACAGTTTGCACACACTTGTAAAGACCATCATGGCAGTCGAACGTTTCCAATGACTCCTATAACTCTGAGTTTTCTATGATGAAAATTATTGAAACACATGATGTTAGTCACTGAAAACAATCATCCTTTTTGGTTCTTTTATAGATTTATTATCTGGAAATATGACAAAACCTGCTGGGTCAAAAACGTACATACAGCAATTCTAATATTTGGTTAAACGTCCTTTGGCCATTTTCACCTCAGTTTGGTTCTTCTGGTTTATCTTTGATAGAATTGGTGCAGTTCTACTAAATTTGTTGTCTTTCTGACTGGAGTTTAAGTCAGGACTTTGGGGAGACCAGTCCAGAACCTTCATTCCAGCCTGATTAAAACATTTCTTTACCATTTTTCAAGTGTGTTGGGCTCATTGTCTTGTTGGAACATCCAACTGTCTCCAAGATCAACCTTCTGCTGATGGTTTTAGGTTTTCCTGAGCAATGTGGAGGTCATCCTCCTCCTTCTTCAATGTTCCGTTTACTTTGTGTAAAGCTCCACTTCAGAGCATGATGCGGCCACTGCCATGCTTGAGGGTAGGTTTGGTGCTCTTGGGGTTAAAGGCCACACCTTCTTGTTGAGATTTGTTTGGACTGGAAACTGATTCTGAAGAAAAATAGTGATTCAGAATGCTCTACCCTGCCAACAAACAGTTTTTTTTTAGTCTGAATCTATGTTTTTGAGTCTGCAGTTTGAAGGTGGAAATAATCTGTCACGGTATTGACTACCTACTTAGTTCATGCATGTGAAAAAAAACACCATGTGTGCATGTCAACAAGGTGAAAATCAGGTCTTTGAGTGGACCTGTAAATCCCACCCTGAACCCAGACAAAAGTCATCATAACAACCTGAGGAGGCTGTTCTCCTGTTTCCTTCCCGGCATGAAGTAGCTGAGCACACAAACATCCCCTCATGTACACTTTCATCTCCTCTGCTTTCTCTTTCTCTTTAATGCACTCGATGTTCTGGGAGAGAAAATTTTGAAGAAGTTTGTGACTGTAGTCCTTTTTTAAAAATATAATATTCCATTTAAAATGAAAGTGACACGTATTCAGTTTCTGTCCTGAAAGCGAAACCTGTTCGAGGTCATGATTGTCTCGATTTGAGTCAGAGCTGCGAGTAGGGAGATTTTATTTTTTTTTTTTCAATCTCTGGATGCCCTGTTATCAGTCTTTATGCTAAACTAACTGCCTTCTAATGTAGCGTCACATTTACAGGACAGATAAGAGGTGCAGATCATCATTCAGGCAAGAAGGCAAACATTTACCCGACTGTGAAACTGTCCCTTTAAGCGATGTCGTGGTTTAAGTGCAATAATCACCACTTCCCCTGTTTGTTCCATCTCCTCCAAGTTCTTCTCGTTTCCAGTCACTTCTCTGCCGTCAGCTGTCAAAATAAAAGCAGAGAATATACAGTTCCTGCGGTTTGCATTGAACACATTTGTAATAATTTGGTTTATTCTTGTATAACGAAGTGAACTTTTAAGTGTATACATACATCAGATAAATTCATTATCTTATTGAAAAGATTCCTCAGTACATTATAGTTAAAAACTCATATTCTGAAGAGCTTCTGCAGAGATTGAATTGATTCCATAAAAATCTTTAAATGCAGCAGTAATAAATGTGGAACTTTTCTCTTTTTGTAGCTGCATTGCTACCGAACAGCTCACAGAACTTTACTGGATCAGTTGTCCTGTCTGGAAACTTTTACGTTTGTGACCATCTGAGCCTCAAAATGCATCTCAAACACGTGTTTTCTAGTTTAAAGAAAATGCCAGAATTCTACCATTTGTAAGGCAGAAACTGTGAAAACAGAAAGAATCCTCAGATTTTTAACTTTGTGACAGTCCTTATCACGAGTTCTGTCAGGAAAAATAACCAGTTTTACGCTGAGTTAATCACTTCTTCCCACATGAGTCATTCTAATTCATTCAGAACAAAGCGTCTGCACCACATTTTGCATCAAACTAAAAACTTGGACACTGCTCAGCAGTCACATGTTGGAAAATCAGAAAGATTTAAGGCGAAATAAAACATAAAGGATCAGTAAAATAAATGCAGCATGGCTCAAAAGCAGTGAACAGATTTGGAGGAAGATGCATCTGGCATAGTGAAACATCTTTCTGCAGCTGCAGAGTAGAAAGAAAAAGTTTGTGGAGGCTGTAAACGTGGAAATAGTTTTTAAAAATCTGTTGTATGAAGAGCCTCCATTTGGACGCTTTAAATTTGTGTCAAATAATCAAAGAAATTAAACTTCTCCTGTGATTTATTTCTGCACAAAAGACATTTCTCTACTTCTAGTCGTGGTTGTTCTGTTTCCATAAAGGTGCAGGACTTTATATTTTAGTGAACAATGAGCCTCCAGTGAGTAAAAATGTGACCCGGAGCAACTAATGTCTGCCTGTAACTTCTCCTTATTGGTTGTACGAGTCTCAATGTTGTAAAGACTGTTTGGCCTGAAAAGTTTATCCAATATTTCTGTACTTGTCACACTTTCTGTTATTGGTTTTTAACAATGTTTTTTTCTGCTCAAGCTGAAAGCACACTGATGGACGACGCGGCCACAACGATGGTAAAAGTCTTAAAATCACTTGTTTTTTCGCTCTCTTTTTTATTTGGGTGCAGTATCTCATGCCGTCTTTTTTCTTTCAGTTATCCGACACGGCCGAAGGCACCGGTTCCGGCGCAGAGTGGGACTTCGATGGTGAGACAGTAAAATATTCTGGTTAATTGTGTGTCTGTGTTTGTGTAAGAAAGAGACAAAAAAGAATAGAGGGAACTCCTAAACGTCGCTGAAAATCCCCCCTTTGCCCCCGCTGGGCTTCAACAGGAAGCCGTGTAATAACTGAGGCAACGAAACAACCACAGGAGACACGGCTCCTCACACCTACAGCGTGTTCAGTTACACCCAACACACACCCTGACATGTTGTTGTGCCCCTTCAACAGTTTCCCCGACCGAACCCGACGCTGTGCTGGAGGTGTCTCCTCACGTGCTGTGGATCTCCGCTGTGTTCGCCTTCCTGTCGGTCATTTTGGCCGCTTACATTTTCAGGTACAGTCGGACGTTGTGTGTCTCTAAACTGAGAATTCATGTTCAAACAGAAACTATTTAGTGCCCTACAATAAATGAATACATTTATTACACAGCATGAGCTAAAAAGTCAGTGGATGTCCCCAAATGATTCACAGTCGTGTCAGATTTTAGATTTTTTGTGAATTTTTAGATTTCTTCTGGCTGGAAATGACATAAGTGATAAAATACAGTCAGACGTTGTTTTAGACGTGTTCATGATGGATTTTCTTCTCAGTAATTAGTGTCAGAGTCTTTATTTCCCTCCACATCAGTCCAACAGCGGTTCTAGTGTCTAACAGTGTTTCTGGGATTTGGTTCCTCCAAGTGTCCATCTGCAGCTCTTGGAGCTTGAAGGCTTCCTGTCCATCACTCTGCTCTTCAGCTCCTCCACAGGTTCTGGATGGATTCAGGTCTGGACTCTGGCTGGGCCGCTCCAACATCTCCTCATTGTTTCCTCTTCACCGTTTCTTCACCACTTTGGCTGCATGTTTCACATCATTGTCTTGTTGAAGCTCCAACGCTGCCCAAGGAGCAGTGTTCCTGCAGACCTCCTGATGTTCTCCTCTGTTCTCATGAAGCCGTTTCCTCTGACCAGGCTGTCTGGTCCGTCGGCTCAACAACAGCCCCAAAGCATCACGTTCCACCACCATGTTGGACCGTGGGGATGCTGCTCTTGGCCTTGAATGCTTCTCCTTTCTCTGTGTCCAAACATGTCCATGTTCATGAAGTGATGAGCAGCAGCTTTCTTCTTTGTCCTGGAGAAGTGGATCCTCCTTGTCTCCATGGAGACCAGCCTTGTTGTTGGTCTGCTGGAGTGTCTGATGGACATGTTGCTACCAGAACTGCTCGCATTCATCAGGATGCTCTTGGTGCTGGTCCTTGGGTTCTTCTTGGCCTCCACCATTCTTCCAGTGCAGGGCTCACGTCTGTCCTCCTGCAGCCCTTTGACATGTTCCACAGTGAGGAACTCCTTGGATTTTATCATGAAGCTTCAAACTGTGAACCTTGAAAACACTTGATATGACTTTATAGGCTTTAAATGTTTTGTGAGCAGCAACAAGGTGCAACCAGAGGTCTTCAAGAGAACTACTGCATCATCTGTTCTCACTCTGTAGTGTACCAGAACACTCAGAAACTACCAGGATCTGGATGATGTAGAAGCGGCATTTTCTCAAAAATAAGCAACAATTTTAAGGGATTTCAAACATTTTTGACACAGTTAGACTGCATCATGAACTTCTCTTACAAAATATTTGACTGTCTTTTGTCATTTCCAGCATGAAGAAACATGCTGGTCAAATAAAACAATCACTATAGATCACTATCTGACACGGCCACATCCTCGATTTCACGCCTCGGCAAACAATTCACTTCTTCATTTGAGCCTCTCTGTTGTCATTTCAGACACAAGGACAGATTCATGTCTAAACTCCACAATCTGATCCCTCGCTGCGGTGACTCGTCTCCTCCTCCTCCGTCTTCAGTTCCGGGGGCTCCAGAAGTTCAGGTTCTGATGACGTTCGCTTCGCCGGTTCGCAAAGAACCAGCGGGAAGTGACACAGAAGAAGGAGAAGGAGAAGAAAATGAGGAAGGAGAGACCGCGAGGGAGACGACGGACGTCATGCACTTCAACAACACCAGCTACTTCTTGCTGCAGAGGGAGTGAAGATGGTGCAGGAAGAGGAAAAAGCGAACAGAAACTTGTAGTTGTTACAGATGACAGGATGGATGAAGGACTTCTCTGATGAGCTTCTGTTGGATGCCAGATGTACAGTCTGTCCCTCGATCACTCTGACTCTGTCTCACGCCTCAAATACCTCTTAAAGACTTCATTTTTTGGTTGTTTTAAGCTCTTCTGTCTGTCACATGTGCCAATTTAAGATGTTTAAACTGTAGAAAGGGTCGATCGGCGGCCAGTTTCTAGCACAAAACCTCATGTTCCATTTGTAAAGTCTTTCACTTGCTAAATATTCTTTATTATAAGCATTTTCACTAAGTCTGGGATCTCTTTTTCTTTTTCTTTTTTAGCGTAAAACACTTAATTTGCAGCATTTCTATGCAACAATTTGTGCCTTTTCTGCATAAATTTGTGGTGAACTCCAAAGATGATGGAATATAGTGGATTTGTGTTTCTCTCTGGTGAATTTTATGCAGCAATTTGTGCCTCTTCTGCATCAATTTAAAGCTGAAATGTCTTTTATTTATTGTGGGGGGAAAAAAAACCAAAAACTACAGACAAATGCAGATGTTCTGTTGGAAAAAATCTGCATCTATGTTTTTTACAAGCCAAAGAAATGGCAAAAAGTTGCTGTGAATAAGATGCCGGAGCTTCATCTGGTTCCTGTGGGGTAATTATTACATTTATGAGTGTTTCTGGGATTATTAATGGATGTGCCTTCGTTAACTTTATCATGACGCTTGAATTAAACATTTGTTTTAAGGTCTGAGTTTTGTGATTTGAAGTTCTGTTTTTTTTAATAAATTGGCAAATCTGCAGCCGCATTCAACCACAGAAAGCACAGAAAAAGGATGCAGCAGGAGGAACAGAGAGCTGATATCACAGTTTTCAGTGCCACTGTCTTTTTAGGCAATAAACATTTTAGCTGCCAAAGAGGATATAGGTATAGGTATGTTGTAGTCATAGAAAGACTGATGGACTGAGTCAGATCAGAATTATTCAAAAGCATGTTTGATGCAATAGCTGCTTTCCAGTAAAGAAATCATATTAATATGACAAATTCACAAGTTTAAATATTAAGCTTAAGACTCTACAGAATTACTTATTATGCACAATTTTTATAAAATATTGCAGTCAAGACACAAGAATATTATAGAACATACAAATTCACCTGATCACCTTCACCAATATTAAGATTCTATAATAGTGTTAGATTCAAGATTTGAGGCCTTTATTGGTCACAAACACAGTTATACCTGATATAACGCGCAGTGAAATGCTTTGTGTGCACCTGTTCCACGCCGAAACAATATTAAAAAGATGAATAAGAATAAACAATAAAACACACTAGAAATAAATGTATATGTGAGTATTAATATATATAGAGAGAGAGAGCAAGAGAGAGAGAAAGGCATTAAAAAAATAAGCAAAAAAAAGAAATTACTCTTCTTATATTATATTATATTGTGTGTATAAACAAGCAACAAGCTAAAAATTAGCAAAATAAAATGTTATATTCTTCTAGAAATTGCACAACTAATTTAAAAATTAAAGCCAAGGCACCTAATAAACATCTACAACCATTATGTTGGTTTGCTGTTGTTGAAATATGACAGAAAAGTAAAAGAAAATATGTGTTTTCTGAAATATTTTGAAGTTTACTTATCAGATTCTGAATTAGTGAAGTTATTTCAGCTTTAAAATGTCTTTCAAATGTAGATTTATATGATTTATTAACAGAAAAGCAGTATTATTGTCTTTTTGTTGGCCTCTGCTGCCACCTGGTGGTGACAGCTGTTGACTGCTGTTAGTTGTTTCCATGGCAACAGTTTGTTGTTATACTGCAGACTCCTGTCAGGAACAGCTGATCGTTTCTTCTTCTTCTATTTTCAGTCAGTGCACACAGAAGGTAAACAACCAGAAGGACGTTTCTTTTTTTTTTTTTAGAAGCATCATGGCTGGAAAAGGCGGTTTGTCCAAACTGGATGTCGGAGTTTTGAGCACCGAGCAGCAGGAGAAGCTGCGACAGTTTAAGGTAGGAATCAGTCATTAAAACTACAAACTGCAGCTTGATTTATGTTCCTGAACTGCATCTCTGCTATAAGTGGCACAAATAAGGAATATCTGGGAATTTAGATGTAAATATCATCGGTTCAAATTGGTGACTAAAGTTAGACAAAAACTGATTTATTTTAAAGAAATCATGTTTTCTGTTGCATGAAGGCAACTTTTCTATTAATTCTGGATTTTGGTGACACTTTTTAAATGCTCTAATCAGCTGTGACTCACTTCGGCATTGAGATTTATAACTGGTGATATGAAATTGTTTATTGAAAAGGCCCTTACTAATTTTTAAACGCCTTTACATTATGAATCCCTGCCTTCAAATGGGGGACCTTCAAGTGATTAAATGATTTTTATTGAGCTTTAAAAATGGTTTTGTTTTGTTTTGTTTTTTTTTTACTCATTTTGCACCTGCAACCTGAAATAAAATCCTAAATAATCAAAAACTTTGCAAATTTTTAATTTCATATTCTTTTCTTCCTTCTTTTTTTTTTTTTTTAAAGTCAATGAATTTACTGAATTAGATTTTAAATGCTCTAATTAATGTTCTTTTTTAAATTTTAATTTATTGCTAATTTTGCCTTTTAATATTTTTGTTGTCATTGTTGTACAACTTTATTATTTGTGTGTCGTCATCTTTTATTTTCTTATTACTGTAAATGACACTTTTAAATAAAGGTTGAACAAATTTTCTTTCATCTTTAAGATCAAGACGAGAATCGACAACGAGAAATACCTGAGGTCTCACCCGGAGGTCGAGCTGCTGATCGGCGACTTTCTGAGGTTTGATCATTTTCACGTCATTTAAAGAAAGTCAGTGAGCAGAGGAGGAAAAATACCACAAATGACTTGTATTTTACAAGTAAAGGATGAAACAATCTGCATCGAAATGACACTTAAAATAACAAAAGTAGAAACTGTCATTGTGCAAAATGACATATTTCAGAATAATGTATGTTACTGGATGATAATTGCTCAGATGAATGAATGAATGAATGGATGAATGTGTTTACCATTTTAATGTTGCATTTAACCTTCAGGGATCGATACAGTCTATAACATCGCATCATAATTTATTTCTTGATTACATTTTGTGTTAATAAATTAAATGTACAAAGTCATCGGATAAATGTTGTAAAAATGATCTGTCCCTGAACGGTTGTGGATCAGACGTATAAAATAGTGAAGCACAATCAACTCAGAGCTTTCCTTCAGTACAGTGTACACGAGTAAAACAACACAATATAGAAATGAGGATGTAATAATGAAAGCCTGATTAAATAAAGGTTTGAATATCTCCTGTTCTACTGGCGTAGATTCAACTGAAAACTGCTGCTTTTGCTTTAATTTTACCTTCGATTTAAGAGATCTGTTGTATTTTTATTTGTTTATTTCCAATAATAATTAATTATTTGCTTATTTTGTTGTTCTAGAAGCAAACCTTTTTTCACAGTTTGCATCATGTTACATTAAGATGCCACTTTTCTGTATGCTAAGTAGATCCAAATCTATACAAAGCTACAAGAATATGGTGTTTAACGACTTAAAATGTGACGATATGTACCGTATGGAGTGGTGAGAGCACCAAATTACAAAAATAAATCAATAAAAGAATAATAAAACAAAAGTGGAAATAAAAAGAAGAATGAATAAAATGAATAATGTGGCAATTTAAAGCAATATTAATCAAAAATGAATCCATAAAAGAAAAGGCTAATAAAAGTAAATTTATATAAAGACAAATAAATGAAATAATAAAAATAATATTTTTTAAATTTATTTTTATTTACTTGTTTATATATATTTTGTTTTTATTTTATTCTTAAAATTAATTTATTTTATTTTTAATTTTTTTTCATTTTCATTTTTAATTTTAATTTAGTTTTAGTTTATTTTATAATGTCGCTTTAAAACTGCACACATTTTTAGGCATATATTTGCTTTGCTTTTAAAGCGACATTATAAAAAACACAAATAAATTAATTAATAAAAACATTTTAATAAAAAGAATAAATATAAATTAAAAAATAATAATAAGTTTTAAAAAATAATAAAAATAATTTAAAAAATAAAAATAATAAAAAAATCAAAATAAATTGCAAAAAATATTATTTTATTTGTTTGTCTGTATTTTTACTTTTATTAGCCTTTTCTTCATTTTTGATTCATATTGCTTTATATTGCCACATTATTTATTTTTTTATTTTATTTGTTCTTCTTTTCATTTCCACTTTTATTTTATTATTCTTTTATTGATTTATTTTTATAATTTGGCACTCTCATTACTCCACAGTATTGTTTTAAACTAATTTATTCCAATAAAAGTCTGTGCTGTGTCTGACTTGATGCTTTTCACATTTTCATGCAGCTTCTTGTAACAAAAACTGCTTCTCTTCTGTGATATTTTAACATCTGCTCGGTTGAGGACAGCTGTATAGATGCTCGTCTCTACTACACTGTGTTCTCTGTCCTCCTCCCACAGAGACGTGCTCCTGAAAAGGCCGGTCGACGTCCGTGAGTTTGCTGCAGGTGAGCTGTTTGCATTGCAAATACGCAGCGCCTCATTCTGTCGGCCTCATCTACCTGAACTAATCTCTGCACCTCAAGCCGTTGTAGGGATTTACAGTTGAGTCAGAATAAACGTTTTGTGACCCGAAGCTGCCAGAGCTTCACTTGGAGCACACTGAGAGTTGAAGTGACGTCGGAAAATAGGAGACACGTTGTTGGGTTCTGATGCCAGTCGTAGCCTTTTTGACCCTCAAAACCTGTCAGCAAGGTGGAACGGTGTGTTAACTTTAACTGCACACCTTAATAGACCAAGGAAGTGCAAAAACAGAACAAACTATTTGATTTTTAGCATTCAGACAGTCCTTATAGTAATCATGTGGGGCATCCCCTTCTGACAGGATAACTAATTATAATCAATAATCGATCAAACCTGAGATTTAAATTATTACATTTCATGAAGATCTGTATTTGAGAAGCAGTTCTCATTTGCAAATATTACATATAAGTATGTAAGTAAAGTCCGGTGTGATCGGCGGGAGCAACAGTCGACTACAATCTGCTGGATTTTAAGCTTGAAGGTGGTGAGTGGAGTCAAAGTGACAAGTTTGAGGTGTTTTGTAAGGTGCTCCAGTCATTAGCTGCATGTCTCGTTTAAGAATTCTGCAATAACAAACTGTTTGCACCACATTCTGTAAAAAGATTTGTGCATCTCGGCGCTGTGACAAACAGTCACTTGACATTTTTCGGCTGAACTGCAGGCAGTGTGTCCCCACATGACAAAAGAGACTGGGAGTGGAAATAAAACCAACCGGATCAGTAAAATAAACACAGCATGGCTCGAAAACAGCAAACAGAGGAGCCAGTAGTTGGAGGACGCATCCAGCATGGTGGAACATCTTTCTACAGCTGAAACACACAAACACAACCGCAATCTGACCCACTAATAAGCGTCATTGTTTTTTTCAGATCACTTCACAAACCTTCAAGCGAACGTCGACCCCAAAACAGAAAGACCCAGCACGGTGGAGTAAAAGCTGGACATACTCTTCTGCTTCATTTCCAGATTAGTATCATCCAGGAAGCAGAACAACAACAAGGAGCACGGTGGCAGCCCTTTCCTGATAGCTGTGATTAAATCTAATGAGCAGAGGATGTCCTGTGGGTATCACACCAAGCTGGATGTCACATCACACGCATGGCTGTAATAGGCCTTATTAAAGACTTAATTGTGTCCCATGTGCTGCTGCCAAGTGGACATATTGTACTTTCATATGTGCTCAACTGCATAGATTAAAGAAATCTGGGAAATGTTCTTCTGTCTGCTCTGAGCCCCGTTTACAACACGAAAACGTGCTTCAAATGCACAAAGACTCAACATCCAGATTCTGTTCATCCCAAATGAAAATCCTCCGTTAAACCCAACAACGTCCCGACAAGCTGTCACTTATCGTGGACGCTGTTGCCGTGAATACGACCTCAGCTGCTTATGTTGTTATATGATTTACCTGTATTCTCATTTACAGTTGAACTTTCAACATATTGTCTCATAAAAAGATAAAACTGTGACGTGTTAGCAAAAAGCTTCCAGTCTGAGGCAACAAGACTTTCACCCAGAAGATTCCCACATGGAACCGACACTCTTAGACTTAATTTTTTGCTCATTTAACTAAGTAGGTTTGATACCTTAAGTTGCCTTTAGGCATCAAAGCTACGTGGTTCGGTTTAGTTTCGATCCTTTGAAGCTTCTGCTCTGTTTTCTTGGCTACAAAGACAACGAGTCACATCTTATCTGATATATGATTGGCTAGGCTGAAAATAAATGTCAGCTTACATGATGTGTTGATTGACATCACAAACAAACCCCTTAAAAAGTAGCTGACAAACATTCTAGTTGTGCAGAAACATGATTTTTGGGTGACATGACGTGTGATTGGCTGAAATCTCCTGTCAGACTTGATGTTGTGATGGCACAAAAACTACAAATTACTGCCTACCCCGGCTTTAAAACAAGAGATTGTATGTAAAAAAAATGGACATGTCCTTCTGGTTTAAAAAGTGAAGCTTTAAACCTGCATTCTGTCTAACAGCCAGCAGGGGGCGACTCCTCTGGTTGCAATAATAAGTCTGATTGTATAGAAGTCTATGAGAAAATGATCTCACTTCTCACTGGGTTTGTTACTTCAGAAAACATTTTTGTAATTACTTTTTGATCTCAACACCAAGTTTCAAGACTTTTTAAATATAGTATGATGTTAATTTTGTAAATTATTGTCCAATTTAGACGAAAATCAATGATAAACAGGGTATGTGTGAGTTCTCCAGTCAGATCCATCCTTCTGTTATCAAGTTTGGTTTTAAAAAAAAACAAGATAGCGACAATCAAGTCAAACTCTTGCTTCGAAACTGCAGTCAACAAAGCAGTGTATGATTTTACAGCGGCTACGTCCATCTTTTATACACTGTTTAACAAACAGATTGTGAGAGACAGGTTTCTGCACACCAGTCCAGAGATAACATTTACTTAACTCACCTATTTTTTGATAAATCTGTTCTGTTTACTCAACTTTTTAAAATTTTATTTGTGACGCCTTAAGCCTGCATTCCTCCTAACAGCCAGTAGGAGGCGACTCCTCTGGTTGTAAAAACAGAACGTAAAAAAAGTCTATGAGAAAATGATCCAACTTCTCATTTGATTTATTACCTCAGAAAACATGTTCTTACTTAGTTTTTGGTCTTAACACAAAGTTTCAAGACTTTTTTTAATACAGAATGATGTCCACTTTGTAAATTATGGTCCAATTTGGAAGAAAACAGATGATAAAACAGGGTATGTGTGAGTTCTCCAGTCGGATCAACCCCTCTGTTATTACATCTGGTTTTAAAAGAGCAAAATTGTGACCGAAAAAGCCAAACTCGATGCTTCAAAATTGTAGTCTGCAAACCTACAGGTGATGTCATGGTGGCTACGTCCATTTTTTTTAAAATCCATCCATCCATCCATCCATCCATCCATCCATCCATCCATCCATCTTCTTCCACTTTATCCGGAGTCGGGTCGCGGAGGCAGCAGCCTTAGCAAAGCCGCCCAGACTTCCCGATCC